ACGTCTAAGTTCGGGTGCAATCGAAAAATTTAAACTCTTGCAACATGCAAGAATCAAAGCCAGGGAAATACCTTAGGGTGCGAAATGTTTACTTCTATATATTGTGACAAAGAAGTACCTGAAAATTGTATATAAAATGCAATTTGATTTCGAGGCTGACTTTGTTGATGTTGGTTCGTAGATAGTCGAAATTACCAACGACTTGGAAGAAATTATCTACTACGTCAACTGTGATGTGGGTGCCTAGTCGCGAGTGCGACGACTGTTTGTTTGATGATAGGAGATATTTCGTCTTGCCCTCGTTCACCACCAGACCCATTTGCTTCGTTGCCTAAATCCATTCTGGAGAAACCAGAACTAATGGCGCGGTTGTAAAGGCCAATGATTTCAATATCATCAACATACGCGGTTTTTGCTTTATGTAAAAAAAACTTTTGTAGCACTCTTATTGAAAAATACTGTTACTAATATTATGATTTAACTAGTCTTTAACCTACTGTGACCAAATAATTTGTTGGCTTCTCTATCTGATACAATTAGTATATCGACTATTGACATTAGAGCATAATTTATGCAATGCTATTAATATGACCAAAACTGTATATAAAAATTTTGATGAAGAAAATCGATTTGCTGATATCTCCGTTCGTCCACCCTTCTATCCTTCCATGAAACTTGAAAAAATATATGTATATATCATGATAAAATCGTTGCATTATTAAAACTTATAGTCGAGAAGTATTGTAGAAAAACAGGAAGCTGTAATTTATAATAATTTTACCATCTGATCAAATTGCATAAAAAAACTACATCTTCATATCGACTTCATATTCATAAACCCGCATCTCGTCACCAGTAATGGCGTATTTGATAAATGTAGGGTCCTCAGCTAAGTTGTCTACGTCTATGTTGTCGACTAATAATTAAAATAAGAGTTTAGACATAATTGTCTTATCTACTTAATTATAACAATAATTATTTTAATATAAACTTAATTATGATAATATTATATATAATTAGATCACAGTATTAAGAAATAAAACCCGATTAAAGAGAAAAACAAATTTAAGAATATATATATAGTACATACATATTAGAATGTCTTTTTTTTTTGTTTTGAACTATTAATTTTTTTGAGGTCCATCACGAAATTTCTTTGGAGATACTAAAAAAATTGCCTGAAAATTTTAGCCCTTAATCAAAATTGCTATTATTAATACTTCCCGAGCTATTCAGCTTTTTAAGTAAGGCTTTATAGAATTTTCATAGATGGCATGTAATAAAAAATATATGAATATTCCATACAGCCATACTTAAAAAGGCGAATATCTCGAGAAGTATTAATGATAGCGATTTTGACCTCGGGCCTTTTTTGTAGCAAATAAAATTTCCTACAAGTTTGTGATGAACATTTTTTCTATAGCTCTTGTCATTTACGAGATATATACAAAAAAATGCGAATTTCATAGAAAAATCAGGTTTAGAGCCCCGTACTACCTCGCACTGGGCACTTTTGTAAAGCTATTATGAGCAATTCTGAGAAATATGCGTCCAAGGTCAAATCGATGCCATAAAATACCAAATCTGTGGGAATTTAAAGATAAAAAGTCATGATTGTTGTGTATTTCATATGGAAAATTTTTATTTGCCCTGGTCCAGTTCTTAATGTTAATATTAAGGGCTTAAATTTTCAGGCAATCTTTTGTGACGGGACTGGAAAAAATTAATAGTCCAAAAAAAAAAAAAAACCACCCACCACGATGCTTTGCAACTTTATGAAGTCATTTGGATTTATTTCCGAATTTTATCAAAACTGTGTACTTCCATTTGGGCAAAATGTTTTGTTTTTCAAAAATTGTCAGTGTCAAAATAACTTAAATGAAAACACAATAATAAAAGAATTGTAAAAATAGCAAACAGTGCGTGACGTGAGCCGTCATTGCGATTAGTTGAAATCTTGTAAATAAAAAAAAAAAAAAAAGGAAAAACAGCAACTGCATTAATGTCCTTTCGAAAAGTAGCTTCTCAACCGACAGTAGACGAAAGGAAATCGGTAAATTACCGTTGCCATTGTCGGCAAAAAAGATGTGAGAATGAGTTTTCGCAATATTTGGAAAGAGAGAGTGAAGAGGACATTATTACTCATATTGAACGGATAAAGGCTGAAGGAACCAATGATGGCGAAGAAAGTAGTGATTCTTCCTACGAGATTGTCGCTGCCACTTGTGGATGTGTCAATTGTCCGTTAAAATTTCTGTGTAAGTGTAAATGTGTCAATTTTCTGTCACTGCCGTGTTCATCGCTGTTCGCTATTGGACGTTATATGGGTTAGGTTGCACCTACGCACTGCAACCTCCTGTGCCCAATACGTACATACATACATATCTATGTAAAGCACATTTACAGACATTCGTGTGTTCATCGCTGCATTTCATAGATACCGAAATGCGTCGCAGAACTGTGTCAGCAGTGTTTTTCTCACTTCGTTTTTTGTTGTTTTTATTTTTACCTTTTTGCACTCTTTGCTTTGCTTTAGCTACGTGAAAAGCGATAGCGAAAACTTGAAAATTAAATGAAATGTTTTTTGTCGCATTTTGGTGTTCTGAAGCAGGAGGCGCTCGTATTATCTTCCGAGCTTTTGAGTTGCTTAACGTATGCTCAACGTACATACATATGTGGGCCGCCTGCCAGCCTTTCACGGTCATTAAATGTGTTCTAATTAAATATTTACGCGAATACGTTTTGATTTAATAATATTCTAATCAAGTGAATTTTAATGTTAAAATAATACCGACAAAATGTGCTCGTCTTCCCAGAGTTACACGCTATTTGAGGACTTCAATTTGACAGTGCATTGGAATCTATTGAGATTAAGGGGTAATTAATGGGAAATAACTCGTTTAAACATTTGTATGCATTTTAAGTGCTACAATTTTTTGTACAGCTTTAGATTTCTTGCAATCTGTTTGTGTAATGTGAAAAGTGTGATTATCGCTACCAACTCCACCGATGGTTTTCATAACAAAAAAAAAAAATAATAATAACTGGGGACACATGACAATGTATGGCAGCTATATGTTATAGTGGTCCGTAATCGGTGATTCCGACAAATAAGTAACTTCTTGAGGGAAAAGGATGTGTGCATTTTAAATATGCATTGTGACAAAAAAGTACCCGGATAAATAGGAGTTCGGAGTAAATAAAACTAAAAATATTTAATTATTCATCAATATTTATTTTGTCGCCTTCAAAGTAATCCCATCATATGCCAACGATTTTTCCAGTTCTCGAAACCAGTTTCATAAGCACCTTTTGAGATGGTCTTCAGCGAATTTTGTTTGACCTCTTCGATCGACTGAAAATGTGTTCCATTACGATGATTGTTGTCTTGATTGCATGTCAAACCCGTAAACCCGCGTCTCATCGGCAGTTATAATGCTGTTCATGAATGTGAGATCGGAATTTATTTTGATTTCGGTATTCTTTTTGAATACAAATCAGCAAAATATACACCAAAATGTCGAGATCTCTTGCCATCTCTCTAACACTTGCCTGATTTTCACTCATCGTATCCTTCGCTTTTTTAATATTTTTATCAGATGAAGAAGTCGAAGGTCGTCCAGAACGAGATATGTTGTAGGCTTGTGTTTTTGATAAAACCGAATCACCGTAAGACTTTTCCAACATTAGCAACACGTACACTTATTTTTGTTTGAAATACAAAACTTTTATGGTGCATTGAAAAAGACATGCCTAGAAAATAATCAATAATTTTTGTAAATTTTTTTGTTTGAAGTTTCTTTTTTCATTGGAAACCCGAAGCGTCTTCCTTGAGCAAATCAATGCTGAGAAACAGTCGTGAAATTTGAGCCTAAGCGTATCAACTAAACGGAAATGAGTTCACCAGCAGCCTATAAATGTATCATTGACAAGTCCTAATTTGAGAATGGCGGATATTTTACTTTTTTAAGCCTTAAAAAAACTTTATATTAAGATAAATACCACCGAAGAACCATTTGAGTTTCACAAAAATTGCAATGTACTTCGTCTCAAATATCTTTTATTAATAAAGACTGCCCAAGCACTGTTCAAAGATTGCGATTGTTGTACTAATGTCAACATTTGCAGTTGTAAATTTTTTAAAATAAAAAAGTTTCATAATAGCTCCAAAACTTGTGCCATTGTTATTGCACATTAAAGAGGAAAAAATATATATATCATATATCAAAACCTTAACGAACAACTAATCACAATTTCCTCATAAATATGTGTTTACTTATTGAAAAATTGTCAACATTTTATATCAGAAATAATAAATAAAAGAAACGAAAATTAATGTATTAAAAAATTAGGTTACTGATAATTTCCTGACATTGACTTTACTTTGTACGAGAATACAAGAATTTTGTTGTTCTGTAAACACTTTCTGTAATGCTTTCGCCGGCTACTTCAACACTTTCGAAGTTCCTTTTGTAACTTTGTGTTTTGAACACACTGTAGTTGTAAATGTAAATTGATATCCAATAACCGCAATTTTTTCCACCTGTCTTTGAAAAGCCGGTCGGTAAAAATAGCAAAACTTAAAAAATGGCTGCATAATTTATGAACAGTTCAATAAAATTGACGTGCTGACGGTAGAAATTTCAGTTAAAGTTTCATGAAATTATTGCCTATGTAGTACAATGATATGCCTGAGCGTAGCTATCGTCTGACTGACGACCTTCCACTGTTTTGATTTTTATTGCTATGCTTTTGGTTAGTCCAAATTAATGAGTGCGCGTGAACATTGGCTCAGATGTAACGCTTGGCGATTGTGGTGGCAACATTTGTGGCAATGTCCACTTTCCACCGCACATTTGCCACCTTGCAGACGCAAGCAGCGTTTCCACGTTTGCCGCATTATGGTTTTGCGTACCAATTTGATTTGTAAATAATGACTTTTTACATTTTTTACATTTATATACTTATGTATATATTTTGAATTCTTTGTTTATTTGCAGATGATCCCGCATTCAATGAAGTGGTATTGCAAGTTGAAACGGCCATTACAGCCGGTGTTATGCCAGAGCGCATCTATCAGGGCAGTAGTGGGTCGTATTTTGTAAAGAACGCAGAAGGTGTAAGTGAAATAATTAAATTTTTAAATACTCAACTTAAACTTAAACGCAAAATATTTATTGATTACAATGACTTTAAAGCTCGGCTATGGAAAAAATAACAAAGAACTAGCCTTAGGAAGGCAAGAAGCTTTCATGAAAACAATAAATAAATATTTCTATATATAAAACCCGAAAATGCTCCACCGCGATTAACTTTTATTTTCAATTTCAAATTATAGTATTGCACAACTTCTTGAATCACTTCTTAATATCTAATTTTTGATTAATTCATTATATATTGCGTCTGATTGTTTGTATGGCTGTTAGATAGATTTGACAGTCCTGCCGACATTTGAACTGCTTTTGTCAGCAGTCGCTACATTAAATGAATTCTTTACGGGGAAATTCCACGATTAAGTTAACTTTTGTGCGAATTTTTGGTAGTAAAATCAAACAGTATTAAACTTATTCAAATTTCTAATCTGTAAAATACTTTCATGTATTATTTATATATGTATATGTATGTAAATACAAATTAATTTTATTTTAATATTTCCAGAAAATCTTAGGTGTTTTCAAACCGAAGGATGAGGAGCCCTACGGACGATTAAATCCGAAATGGACCAAATGGATGCATAAGTTGTGTTGTCCCTGCTGCTTTGGACGCGCCTGTCTGATACCGAATCAAGGGTAATATAGCCTTATATCTGAAAAATAAATTGGAAAATGGATTTAAAAAGAAAAAAAAACAAGATTAACTTCGTTTATCAATAATTTATCAACAACACAGACATATTACAGTTAATAAAAAAAATAAGTAAATTAATGTATATTTCATTTCAGCTACTTATCAGAGGCTGGTGCCAGCTTGGTAGATCGTAAATTGCATCTAAATATTGTACCAAAGACCCGTGTTGTACGGCTGGTGGCCGAAACTTTCAACTACGCACGCATAGATCGACAAAAGGCAAAATTGAAGCGACGCATCAAAGAACACTATCCTTCGGCGCATTTCAATCGTATGAGTCTGCCACTTAAGGTAGAAGGCATACACTTGCATTATATATATAGTTATTATAAATTAATAAATGAAATTTTCTTCCCCACAGACTGGTTCCTTTCAGCTGTTCGTTGAAGGTTATAAGGATGCCGATTTTTGGTTACGTCGCTTCGAACAAGAGCCACTCACCGCAAAACTCGCCAACTCCTTTCAGCTTCAATTTGAACGTCTCGTTGTACTCGATTACATTATACGCAATACGGATCGTGGCAATGATAATTGGTTAATACGCTATGTACGACCTACAGGCACTCCAAAGATTTCCGCTAACGGCGGTGGGTTGCGTGAGAAATCCATCGACGTGTCCGAACAAACACCACAGAAACAGGAAGGCGAACAGACGCCTCAAAATGCTAACAATCTGGATGTCAATAAATTAGACTCAACGGCACAAAAGCAAGATTCCGAGCCTGCCACTCCTAATTTCGACACAGCCAGTGCAAATAAACCGACTACTAGTCAATCAGGTGATGCGACAACAGAAGGCGCGATTACTATTGCGGCAATCGATAATGGGCTGGCTTTCCCATTCAAACACCCCGATTCGTGGCGTGCCTATCCGTATCACTGGGCATGGTTGCCACAAGCGAAAGTGCCATTTAGTGAAGAGACGAAAAACCACGTGCTGCCATTGTTGTCCGATATGAATTATGTCGAGGAAATTTGTACAGAATTATTTTATTTATTTCAGGTAAGTGTATATATGCATATAAATATGTGTGTTATTTTTTAAATAAATATTTATTTATTATTTATATTTCGCATGATGTGCTGACAGCAAGATAAAGGTTTTGACAAGCGTCTCTTCGAACGTCAAATGTCTGTGATGCGTGGTCAGATATTAAATTTAACTCAAGCGCTTAAGGATGGTAAATCGCCAGTGCAGTTGGTGCAAATGCCAGCAGTAGTGGTGGAAAGGTGTGTAAAAAAAATTTTTTGTTTTGTGAGATTACTTTGAGATGGTCATCTTTTTGTCATTCTGGCTATAATCTGGATACAAACATTTTATTCATTTACTATAATTTAAACTTTGTGATTTTGCTTTCAGATCTCGAGGTCAAAATAGTCGGTTCTTTTCATTCACGCAACGCTTTCAAAATAAGAGTCCTTTCTTCTCATGGTGCTAACATGAGCGTAACAGCAGCAAATCACGCACTCATTTTAAAAGTAATCGAAACAATGAAAAAATGGATTAAACTTGCAAAACGGTTCAAAAGTTGCCGGCTTAAAATCGAAATAACAACTGTAAATGGTTGAATTATTTCACTATGTGTGTCTGAATAATCGAGGACTGACTGTGTTCTTACTCACTAGCTGCTTTGGCATTTAGTGATACTTTTGATATCCTTACACACATATAGCTCTTTGAAGTACATACCCACGTATTTGCTGTTTTTTTTTTTTTTTAGTTCTAATCTTGTACATACATACATATATACTAAATATGAGAATATGTGTAAAACGAAGTACTATTTTTATGAAAATTTTTGTATATTTTCATATTTACTTAATTTTAATTTGAAATTGTTATAACTTTAGCTGAAAGAAGTTAGGATGTACATTGCATAATGTTATTTACTTATTAAACAAAGAAAAGCTTTCGTTTATTCATATATAAATAGATAATATACATACACACATAAATACTTACTGTGTACGCATAAATTCATGCGGCCATATTATGTAATTCCTTGTGCTATTTTCACTTTAAAGTGTATTTTCCTCAAAATCCCTTTTGAAGTGAATTCATTTGCAACGAAAACTATAATATGTCTGCTTGTTTTATGCATTGCCATTCCAATAGTAATAAAAATCAAAGTTTAAAGCAGGTATTGCAAAAATTTTATTTTATGTAAAAAGAAATAAATATTTGCTTGAAATGTCGTGATTCCTCTTAGTTATCAACGGAAACTGGCGTCCTTCTATGATTTAGAGACGCTAAAGTCTATGAATTATAATCTATCAATCGCACTCCTTCATATCCATCATTTCATAGTACGAACTGACATACAGAGATACATATATATATACATATATAAATAAATTTAATAATATTATATACAGTAATTTGATTGTTAAGTGAAACAATTTAATCTATTCAATGATGTAATCGAGTACACCGATACGTTTACGATGTTTAACGCTGCAGTTGAAGATAATGAACTTAGGTAGGACAAAATACTTATTTATATAAATATAAACAAAAATGTATAAGTTTATTTAGCACTCTGTGCAAATAAAAAAAATTTAAATGAAATCATTATAAACCACAAAGCATCCACTCACGCACCTCTACTACTAGCACATATAGAAATGGATTTTGTTTTTCTTTTTTGTAATATAATCCCAATTCATTCACAACACGTCTACTTATTAGCTGTACTGTATGCATGTGTACAAATACGTGTCGTTTAACTTAAGCCGTTAAGGAATTTATATAAAATGAGGAAAGAAGTTAATTTGAATTGTCAACAACATAAATTAGCCTTGAGAAACACCTAAATACATTTACACTTTGCCTGATTTTATGTGTGAGCATGTCCATCTATATAAATGAACAAGTATAATTAAATCGAAACCGATAAATATCTGAGTTTTACTTTCGGTTAGATGGAACAATAGATTTCTTTTGCATTTCATAACTTGTCAGCTATTTGGGTGAAATCGTGTGATCTTGAATGTTGGAAGCTACTATAGTGCTGTAATTGGTAGTTTTATTGAATACGCAACAATAACAACAAATTCACAAAAATATGCTCAAAGTCCTACTGTTACCGACCACTTAGTGTATACTTAGACGTGCCTATGAAATTACGAGTATTAATAAAATTAATTGTATTTAGTAATGCATATACTAAATGAGAGATGTAAAAAATTTTAATCGAAATGGTCACTTTGTTTTCACTCAAGATGGCCACTGATCAACACTAACATGCACAGCTTCTATTGATATTGACGACACTGCTCGAACCAAAGATTGCTTTAGACATTTAAACATTTTTTTGGTATATTCGGCGGACCATCTTCTTCAAATCTGACCCCAAACTGTAGGCCAGTGGATTAAATTCTTGACTTCCAGTCGGCCAAGGTTTAACCTCTGTTTCACAGAAGTTAAGAGGTATGAAGGCTACACTGAAAAGTCCTACTCAGACTTGAAGGTATATTAAAATTGATATGTAATCTCAACCTTGCTGGAAAACCATTTAATCTGTAGCGCTAATTCCATTGAAAATATCGAATATTAAAATAAAATAATTTAAACGAATTTCTGTGGTGAAAAAATATAACTCCTAATGCATATGCGTTTCCGGTTCCGGTTATGTCAAATATACATAGGTATAGGCCCGTTCACATACAACTTTCCGCACTTTGCGTGACAGTCCATTATGAAACAACGAGGCGCCGAAAGCAAAGGGTATGACACAATGAACGATTCGCTTTCAGTGTTTCTCCTTAATAAGATTGGCGACTGCTGCTAGGCAAAGCATAAAATTAAGAGAAAAACTCAATATTTTTCCTTAGCTTCGCGTCAACAATTTTTTATGTGACCGTTCGTGCTGAGCGATTTGTATCTGTGATTTCAGTGATTCTAAATCATTGTAATTTTATATTGCTTTTGCGAACTAAAAAACCGAATAAATGGAAAAATCTGTACACTATATCAATTCTTTAAATTCATCACATATGTATCTTTTCAAATTTTATTTTAACGATAAATAATAATACTTTGCCAAAAAAGTCTTGCGGTATTTTTTATGTATTTATTTATTTTTTTTTTATAACGGTTTGATGACTCATGCCCAGCTCTTGACCGATGCCACGGCTGCTATTATGCCGGTCCCTTTCGACCAATTCAGCGATTTTATCGCAATTCTCGACGACAGGCCTTCCGGAGCGTGGCGCATCTTCGACCACCTCTACACCAGAACAGAAATGTTGAAACCATCGTTGTGCGGTGGAAATGGAAACTGTATCGGGTCCATAAACTGCACAAATTTTATTGGCGGCTTGAGATGCATATTTGCCTTTATCGTAGTAGTACTGTAAAATATGCCATACATATTTTCTCTTTATTTTGCTCCATATTTGCGACGCTATAACTCAAAACGACTCTCAACGACTTAAAAGAAACGATAATCAATCAAACACATGTTAGCGCGTGAAATGAGCTTTCCAAAAAGCCGTTCCCACGACAGTCGGGTCTACGAAAACCGGAACGGACCCGGATTTTTATCCGGCCAAGGACTGTCAACTCGGCAGAATTCTGCCGTTACAACAACAACAACAACACAGCTTTCCAAAAAGGTATAGCATGACCCGATGCGAAGAATAAAACTAGAACTACGCGCTCTCAGCGCCAACTAGCGAAAATACCGCAAGACTTTTTTGACAAACTAATATTATAGATAGAATTAAATATTAAAAAAAATTTTAGGCAGTTGTAACTTCTGGTTAATTCTTAAAATTTATATAACTAATTAAGACATGTTTTTTATACTGGCATTTCAAAATTTATTATTTGGCTTATTATTATTCGGCTATTGCGATAGCAAGTAACCATATTAAACTTTAATGTTAAAAATTGCAATTGCACAAATTTTTTGAAACGTTGTTGCATTCGCAAGTCGTAGAAGTGACCTGCTACAGTGAAAAAATAACCGGTAGTGAAATATCGCTCATCTCTAGTCTAGTCTAGTATCAACTCATACATCGAACTTTTCTGTTAAAGCAAATGTCTGACGCAGAGCGATGTGAATTGGCATAAAGGTCTTTAGAGAACATTTTTGTTTACTAATTTTTTCATCTTATAATTTAGCCATTATCCATCACTGGTATTTGTTGTAAAAGCACAGCTAACTTCAGGCTGGAATCATTTTGCTAAATATTGAGTTGCCAACATTTTTGGAACTCTTCACACAGACCTTTTAACTTGTGAGTGGAAAAGAGATAACTGCATTACTCTAGCATATTCAATATTTCCTCAGCTGGCATGACAATAGAAAAAACAACCCCGACAGATATGCTCTTTTCTTATTGGACCTATTCAATTGTCAAACTGTTCCCTGAACTTAAAGAAGTCGTTTAGCGATTCCTTTAAATCGATTTATTATTGATAAACGGCGTGATTTATATGAAATCAATTATATTTATTCGAAAATATACAAGGTATAATTGCTGTTAGTGGTTGTCACATTCGCATACAATACTGATTCACGTGTCATTCAGCAAATCATTTAGCAGCGCTGTCAAGTCTTCAACTGACTCCTCAGAAGAAATAAGGTGCGAAGGTGGAGCGAAAGTGAAAATTTACATTTATCAATATTTGCAGATTCTCTCGTTTTTATCTGACGTTTTTGGTTCTACCCTGTATACTCGTTTGACACAAAAGCTTAGTGCATAATTCATCCAAAGATTTAAACGCGTGTCCGAAAGTTGTCAAATAAAATAGCTCAGGTCCGTCTGTGGAAAATTTTAATTCAATAGAATTTCGTTTTGCGAGATACATAATCGGAACAGTAGTGCAATATAAAAATAATCTTATAAAAGGAAATTACAGTGCAAATTGTTTGGGAGGAGAGCAAAATAAATAGGAAAAATTGTGATATTGTGAGAATTTCCGTATAATCTGCCAGCGCCAATGCCAAAGTTAACTGCTACGCCGGCTGACAACGATAGCTCTCCACGATAAAAATCATTCTCGCGTACGACTATCTAGTTGGCGCAAGCGGCTGTGTTCTCCCTTTACTTTCGGGAATAGTTGACGAAGAAACAAAACAAAACCTTTTAAGTAAATAAAAAAGTATTAATACAAGTGTTGAAGAATATTAATTCTTAAGTGTTAACAATTATAAGAAAATCAGTAAGTTACATTGACTAACTAGTAAAATATAAAAATACATCAGGAGATTGAACAACGATATACGAGAATAAACGAAAATGCTGATCAAAGAATAGTAAGTATCTAAACTTTAACCTTTTCTGGGATGAGTTATGACATTATTGTGTAAAATATAAGCTTTTTGATCGCTGGATATTATAGCGGCATGAGTTAAGAGTGTCTAATGTATACACACGTCTCCACCTTTAAATAAATACATACATGGAATTTTGACCATGAAAAAGTCAATTCCGCGGACACCATCAATGTCAGCGTGTCCAGAGATGATTGGTATAGTAGTAGTTAACAATGTATTTTTGAAATCTATGTCCTTAGTAAATTAACACCTAGTTAATATTTGAAATAAAGCACTTTTACTACAACCGCCAAACAGAATGTGACAAATCGATTTTTACCCCGCACTTATAAAGAACGTTTGCGGCGCTGCTCAATTAGTAGCGGATATGTACATATGTAGTTGCTTCACAGCAAGAATCTGCTGTCTCTAGTGACAACTTTTGACAGTTTTGTTTTCGGTTCTGTTACGAGTTTTTATGAAATCTACATATAAAAGCACAGTAATAATTCAATAGTTTTAACTTTTCACAGTTATATTTTTATATCCTGAACAGTGCTTCATGTATGTACCTTGTAAAATCTATTTTGCTCTATCTGTATCTTACAAAGTAGTTCCACACTTTCTGAGATGTCCATATGAAATTCTGAACATATCCTTCTTCTCCCAATAAAGCAAGAACCAAAGATATCAGACCATTGTTGTTGTTGTAGTGTTAGAGATCTGTCGAGTTGATAGACCATGATCGGATAAAAATCAGAGCATTTGTTGTTGTTGTTGTAACTGCAGAATTCTGCCGAGTTGACAGTTCTTGGCCGGATAAAATTCCGGGTCGGTTCCGGTTTTCGTAGACCCGACTGTCGTGGGAACGGAAAAATCAGACCAGTATAACATATCGCTGCTATAACACATAACATCTACTATAACTTACATACATATTTAGCCTGACCAAGAAAAATCAAGATAAAGATTTCATAAAGAATTGCTTCCTTGTTAAAAACATTATTTGGACTTGAAGGTTGGTTATATCAAACAATATATTCGAAATTGTTTTGGCTAACTTTTTGTCATTTAAATATTCGCTGCACAGCTGCACTTTTTTCTTGAATTAATCATATAAATCTTCATTCCCTCCAACTCATTATCGGTTTAGCCACGTTTCATCCTATCCGCCGCGTCTACTCAATATTTTTTTATTTGCCTGCATACGTAATGTGATTCGTCATAATATCTTCGCTCATTGCATTAATTATATTTTATTGCGCGTTTTATTGATGGCTTTTATTAAGCATTAATCAGCTGATTCCTTGCCATTTTTCAATCAAGCTTTTTCAAAACTTATTTTGCCCATATTAATGTGTTTATAGTAAAATTGTTACAGTTACGTTTTTAAAATATTAAAATTTAAATAGTTATCACTACTCACAAGTATCATGACTTTTTTAAATAAATATCAGGCAGGCTGAATAGTGAGTATAACTTCAATTATTTGACGACATTAGAATTTAATAACTATATTCCACAGATAAACTTGAAAAGAGCATGTTATATATTAAATAGCTCCCGGAGAATTTGGTGGAGAAATATAGAATTTTAAGTAACAAGGTTTCAATATGGTATATCTTTTTCTACAAAAATGGAAATTTAATGAAATAGTGAATTCGAGCTTTTTTTTAGTTTCTTCAAAAGTTATGAAAATTTCAGTCAACTTGTAATTTGCGGTCTGTTGAAAACACTTTTATTTTTATTTGTTTCGTCATCAGATGGGCGCACATATTATATTATTTACAAAAAGGCGGTTAAACACATTCCTATCGGACTTTAATAGTAGTTATGACAACAATAATGATGTGACTTCTGAAGCAATGTAATAGTTAATTAAAAATGTGGCCATTCAGTTTTTTTATTTGTGGAAAAGATTTTTTAATTTTCATTAAAAAAAAACATTTTTGATCATCTCGATTTAATATTATTTTCACCTTTTAACCCCGTTAATTGAGATGAATAAAAATTAGCAAAGCAAACGTTTCACAACACTGCCCACATATCGATATAGCGCTTGGTGGAGCAGACGGTATATCAATCAACGATAAAAAATAAAAGTCAACCAATAAATTACAAATTAGGGTGAGGATTATTTAGCAAGTTTATTTCTCCTTTCTTCTCTAAAAAAATTGTGCGAATTTATTAATGCTCGAAAAGGAACCATTCTGTGCAGTCTAATGAAAAATAATTATAATTAAATTATCGCTTTGAAAGTGAGAGCAATTAAAAAAATGTTTCTATATATACCAGAGAATTTATAAATAATATCTAATGATAATGATATGATATGATTAAATTGTAGAATACGTAATCATTATATATTTACTAGGCATTGACTAATCTGTAACTGGTATATTGTAAGAAATCCTAAATTAAAAACAGGACACCACAATGTGATTTCATCTAAACATTTCCATACCCAATTTGGCCATCAAATGATTTTTAGGAATTGTGTGTTATCTACGAGCACATTTGGGAAATAATTTTTCGTATACACAGATGAACCTAATCCATGCATATGTGTGGCTACACAGGTGAACTATAGCAAAAATACTCAAAATTGGCAGCTATATGAAGAATGAATCATTCTTTCAACTTTATCTGTTGTTGTTATTGATGCCACGATGCACTATTTTAACTGCTGTTATATCAGCCAGGCCAATTGCCATTCCATGCTTTTGTGCTTTTTATAATCTAAAAATTTATGCGTATCACCATGTGACACTTTGCAATTTCTCTTCTCTCTCCTTCTTTCACTTTTTTCAGAGTTTGCAGTTTTTCTGTTTAGAATTTCGATTCAATTATCAGTTAACTATTCTTTATGGCGTTGCAATTGATTGCGGAAATTTGTTGAACCCGTCAGTAGGCATTGGTGCCGGAGCCGATGGACTCAATTTATGTAACGATTCAGATAGTAAAACTGAAATTATTTAAGATTTGCTAACGAGATGGCCGGAATGTGAGTTCTTCAGAGTGTATGAATATGAGTTCGATGGTTTTAGGTATTGTTGTTAAAGTTTTGCGCAAATTAATCACATTTCGCTGCAATAACAACATTAAATGAGTTCAATTGCACTAAAGTTTGACTCAAAAAATGTACATACATTTTTATGTACAGACGTGTTCGAAATAATAAGAACAACCAAAGTGAATATCGAAATCATTGAATAAAATTTTCTCAGTAATATTTTATTGAACCTTTTTTTCTTAAAAGATATATACATATTGTGAGTATTAAAAAAATTGAWAATCTGGTCATCAAATACGCACTAACTTTTTTGTACTACAAATTTTGTTGCATTGGGTCTTAAACAGCCTGTTCGAAAAAATAAGAACAAAGCATGAAAAATTATAAGAACACACGTTTGTTGTTTTGAAATGCATACAAATGGCCTTACATTTAATATGAAGTTGYTCCCCCACGATTTTTTATTACTTCGGTACGTCTGGACTGCATGGAGTCTACAAGGCTGCGGCATCTAGAGAGGGGTATATTTTCCCAAGTATTCTTTGCTGCTCTCCATAATTCTTCCAAATTTTGTGGCTTAGCATCCCTTATTCCCTTTTTTACATCAATCCATAAGTGTTCGATTGGGTTAAGGTCCGGCGACTGCGCCGGCCAATCCATTAATTTCACATTTTTGCTGCGAAACCATTCCTTAGCCCTTTTTGGGGTATGCTTTGGGTCATTATCTTGCTGATAGACCCAACGCAGTGGCATATCCTTTTTTGCATAAGGTAAAACCACGTCATCCAAAATATTATTAACATAGAAAACTGCGTCCATAATGCCGGTGATCTTTATTAGAGGCCCAACACCATTTCACGAAAAACAACCCCACAACATAACTTGAGACCTTCATGTTTTATAGTTTTCGTTGTGTATTTTGAATTAAATTGCTGTTTAGGAGGAGTCTAACGTACTGGTTTTCTTTACCAGAGTCGATTTGCACAACCTTTGTCTCATCGGTCCATAAAATATTACGCCGAATTGTTTTAGGTTCATTAATAAACCGTTTTGCAAACTCGAGTCTCCGTTTCAAATGTAGACTTTTCAGTAAAGGTACTTTTCTAGGACTTCGCTCTTTCAGATTAACGGCGATCAACCGTTTTTTTTATTGTGCAAGTCGCTATTGACAATTCTAGTTCATCTTTTATCTGTTTGGAAGTTATAAACGGGCGCCTTTTAACAATTCTTTTGATGAGGTCATCTTGCCTATGGGTAGTTTTTTTGCGTCTTCCTCTCATTTCAGCTTTCAACGACCAATTTTTACAGTTTGTTATCATTCCGTTTGAGACTCCTAAAAGCTGTCTTATATTGGCAAACGTTTTTCCCTCGGAAAGTAGTTTTTTTACAATCTCTCTTTTCTCTGTAAAACAATGAGGAGCTCTTCCCATTTTTAAATAAATAAAAGTAATTTCTCGTAKTCAATCGATTAAATTCGCGCACTGGCTATAACATTAGAATTCACTAAAATGATATGCAGCTGACTTGCTAGAATTTTCGCAAATAACGGTATATAAGCAGSCTACTTGATTTTGTTCTTATTTTTTCGAACAGGCTGTTTAAGACCCAAWGCAACAAAATTTKCAGTACAAAAAAGTTAGTGCGTATTTGATGACCARATTTTCAATTTTTTTAATACTCACAATATGTATAMATTTTTTAAGAAAAAAAGGTTCAATAAAATATTACTGAGAAAATTTTATTCAATGATTTCGATWTTCACTTTGGTTGTTCTTATTATTTCGAACACGTCTGTATATTAGAAACCCAAACTCTACAGAGTATTGCCAAAATTAAAATTAAATAGCATTTTCAATATTTAGAATAGTTTAAATGAGCAGAACGTTTAAGGGTGTTGGAAGAATTTTGTCGGTCAATCTAAATATACATAAATAACATTATAACTAATTGATGTACATTTTATATACATTAAATACATTATACATAC